AACCATTTGATTTTCCAACTGGAATTTCCGGTTTTCCCATGAAAATGGTAAGTACCCCCGGTTTCAGGAGTTTGAAACCCTTTGGAAACGCTCTGGAAACTCATTAGAAACCCCTTGGAGACTCGTTAGAAACCCTTAGGGAACTCTTTAGTAACCCTTTTAAAACCCTTTGGAAACCCCTTAAAAACCCCGTTTCGGGAGTTTGAAACCTGATTTCACCCAAATTGCCATGGTTCATGAGACGTTTTTTCGTCAGTATGAGGGTCACATAACAATTATGGTAACTCTAACAACACCTTTGATCGTGTGGGGTTGAAAGAGTGACAACACAACGGGGTGGGCTAGGCCGTGACCTAAAATGAATGCTCCTTGTACGTCCTCGCGTGGTTTTCTCGCTCGCTTATTACTGGAAAGATTCTGCTAAGAACCAGTGTACGCGAAATCTTGAAGTGTGGAGATAAGGTAGCGAACTTTACACTTAAAATCGTTCGCTTTAGTGACTTTAGTCACTACCTGACCCTTATATTGCTTCTGAAATAAAACTTCTTGTTCAAATGCCATTTAAGTCACTTTAAATCTCTTCAAGAATAAGCCAGCCAAATATCAGAACCAATACAATGCTTTCCAATTACAAGAATCTATCGATAACTTTGATACTGCATACTCCAATCAAAATGAGATTTGACCACGGATCATACTTCCGGTTACTTGAAATATTCCGATCTCTTGATCTGGGAGGAGCCTGGAAGCCAAAACAAAGAACTTTCTTCTGTTGAAAGTTTAGAAGGAACAATATTTTTTCAGTATTGGAATCTCTAGAGGTCACAGAAGTTCTCTAAAAGAATGATTCAGTGGGGAAAATTATCTTTCTGTCCGAATGTACGAGTAGGTAAAATTTCTTCGATGGCTGTCAAGGTGGCGCGGTTTGGAATCCAGGCTTGGAAGCACAGGTAAATCTGAGTGCATTTTGTTTACCTCTACCTGCTCGAAAAGGAGAATTTCCGTATAATTTAGAATTATTCTTGAAGTCTATTATCTTCTAAAGTGAGATGATTCATTGTACTTTGATTTTATTGACTCTTTCCTTCTCTGTGGGTGTTGAAATCTGTGACAGGAACAGCGACAACTGCGAAGATACATCCAAAGTAAAACACGCGAACTTTTACACTTCACCTCAACCTAATACCCAGAGTGTCAATATTTCTTCAAGTGTAACTCTAAATGACGGCGTACAAATTCCGATATATGGCTTGGGAGTCTATCTAGCCGGATCTGGTGAAGAAACTCGACAAGCTGTGCTTTGGGCCTTGGAAAATGGCTATAGACAAATCGATACAGCGGCGCGATACATGAATGAAGAAAGTGTTGGTGAGGCCATTAGGGAGAGCAAGATTCCACGAGAAGATATATTTGTTGTCACGAAGCTGTATGACACTGATCATGGATACGATGAAACGTTGGCGGCTTTCAATAACAGTTTAGGAAAACTCGGAATGGAATATGTAGACTTGTATCTCATGCATTCTCCTCTGCCTGATAAAATCGTACCTTCTTGGAATGCCATGGTGAAGTTACAAGAACAAGGACTGATCAGGTTTGTAAGAAGTCCCTAGAGTTCTGTATGAACACGGGCCCATTCCATTTTCTAGTCCCTCTCTATTGAAAAGTCAAAATTTCCCCCACCCCCAGGGGAAGAAAAGTCAAAGTCCCTCTCAGCTGATAACCCAACTGTCCTTTGTCCTCAAGAAAAAGCTGTTTTGTAAATTTCTTCAAAACATTGGTCAATGCTGGCTGTCCGACACAGCATCCCCATTCAGAAAGACCTTGCAGACCCTTGAGAAAATCCCATCAACAGGGGGAGGGGGTAGGTGGATATAATTTAAATGAAATGGCCCCTAGTCAATGCACTAATGTTTGTGACATTTTTTACTCTTAAGATTTTACCCACTTCAACAGAGTGAGGTCAGGATATCTACCATCTCTATAATGCTATGTGATAACAAGACTTTTTTGATCATACAGTACTTGACTCAAAGTCATTTATTTGTCTCATTTTTGGCAGGTCTATAGGTGTATCTAACTTTGGTATCCACCATCTTGAAGAACTGAAGAAGCACTCTACAGTGATACCTTCTATCAATCAAATTGAATTGCATCCGTTTTTACAAGAGAATGACCTCGTAAATTACTGCAAGAAAGAGGGCATTGCTGTTCAGGCTTATTCACCTCTAACAAGAGGAGAGAAACTTGGCCATCCTACACTGAAATTCATTGCAAACAAGCACGGAAAAACACCAGCACAAGTATTACTGAGATGGTGTATACAGAAAGGCTATGTTTGTATTCCCAAGTCTAGTCAATCATCTCGAATTATAGAGAATGCCAGCATATTTGACTTTAACCTACCGCAAGAGGACATGAATACTTTGGATGGCTTGGAAGAGGGATTCAGAACAGGAAGACCCAAAATACTGGAGCCTTGGAATGGCTAGTTGCACAGTGACACAATTAAAAAGTGCAACATTCAGGGAACCTTTAAGTAGGCTTAACCTGCTGGTCTGTCTTTTCACACACAGTATATTTGGAGTTGAATAAAGTGCTATTACTGGTAAGTGGATGTACAAGAAGTCAATGTTCTAGCTTGAACAGACTGTCATTTTGCACTTCAGACCAAATAGTCACTGCAGCTGTAAGTGGAGTAGAAAATAACTTCCGTATACTCTAGCTATGAATGTATTGTTCCAGAATATATCTGTACCCCCCACCCTGCACCACTGAAGGATTTTGGTTTCAATGCCCTTTCTCTCCTACAGCCTCAGAATTTCCCATGACCTTCTAGAGGGTGGGTATGGATATTTTCTGGAGCTGCACAATGTTCAAAAGAAGAGAAAATGATTCTACACAGTACCCCAAGTTTAGTTTTATAAAGCCTTTTTTTTAGCAATAAAAGTTAATCCCAAAATGAATGTGCTGCAGATATTACCTTGGTTCACAAAAAAATTACGAGCTTTCTAACTTTCCAGGAAGATTCGAAGGTGCTATTGTAAGGGGTCAGACATTTACATTTTTTATGAATCCCATAGACCTTTCCCGCATTCCAGCAAACAATGGAGCCAAGGTGACGTCAGGGTGAACAAAAATACAGTAAATGTATGAAATGTCCACCCCAACCTCACTCTGGTGCGGGAAAGGTCTATTTGTGGATAATAACTTCATTGAAAACATAATTTGAAAAAATAGAATTTAGAGACCAAGATTGATATCAATTTTTCAATCAAGATTTCATTGCAGGGTGACAAATGTAAGCGCTTAGCTATTTCTATTGTAAACATTAAAGCAAAAATAGTATATACGTTAGCTGAGTTCTGAAGTTGTGAATGTAAGACAAAAGACATTAAATTTGGTAAAATTATTTTATTTTGTAAATGCAGTTTAAAATGGTGCATGACTACCACGTCATGTTAATGGCAAGTTTTCTATTTAAGTTGCAAGATGTTAGTTTTTGCCACAAAAAACGCTTCTGTTGCTCAATAACGTGGTTTACACTTTGTTATATATAAAGTCTTCTATTTATGGGTTAAAATGCTGTTTATTTCATATGGCATTATTTATAACAGTGTTTTATAATTTTCTAATAATAAAATGGTTAATCTACAGGTTTTTGTCTATACATTTCTGAAGTGTTGTCTTGTCTTGTGACTTTTGTACAAAATGCATGTTGTTTAATTGTTTTTATATAATAATTAAATGAATGCGCACGCTCTGATTGGTCGGTCAGCTATGGTTTATTGTGCCAGTAAACTCATGGAAATTTCGCGTGTCTTCTGAATTATTATATAAAAGCAATAGACCACAAGTTTCTATGGTTTAGAGGCAGATAAACCACTTGGAATGTTGGAAGAACACTCGAAGAATTCGTAAATCACTTGCCTGCTGCTCGTGATTTATGAATTCTTCTAGTGTTCTCGTGATTTACGAATTCTTCTCACGTTCTTTCAACATCCCGAGTGGTTTATCAGCCTATGAACCACAAAAACTTGTAGTCTATTGCTTAAGGAAAAAATTTCTAGAATTATCCTTTGCATGAGCTTTAAACTACAGTGGAAACATGATTTCTTGAAGCCATCCTTTCTTGAACAGCCCAATAACTTGAAGAAAAAGCTTTTCTTTGAATTTGCTTCACTTGCCCTCTCCTCCTTACTACTACAATTATGTAAAGTGCAACCCCAGGTTTGTTATTTCACATCCTAACATTCCATATTCATTTTGTAAAAGGCACAATTATAAATTGCAACCAAACCCCCTTACAGCACAGCGATGGAAAGTTCTCCCGAGTTACAATTTAACAGACTGAGGAGTTGATTATATATATATTTAAAAAAAAAAAAAAAAAGGCTTACATTTTGGATCACTCTACATCGTTTTTTTAGTTACAAGTCTACATTAGCACACAATTTCCTCAATGACGCAAAACTCACAAGGCAGCTAAAAAATCTATCATCTAATTAGTGTATCATTCTTCTCAAGCCAACACAACCCATAACCCATGTCTACTTCAGAAATGGTAAGATCTGTTCATCAAAGAACTCGTCTGTAAACTGCAAGTGATCTCCATCAGCAGTTAGAAAATGCAGTTTCTTGTCACGGTCCATTTGCTGCAGTCCCAGCCAGTCCTAAAATGACAATTAGCACGTATTAAGTAATTGTTTGGTTTTTATAGCAGGGTTGTCATTAATTTTTTAGTCACCTGTAGCCTTATTCTCCACACCCATAGCAAATTTGTTACTTTGGGGGTGAATTCTCTAAACAGCAGGGAATTTCACCCATAGCATCAAGGGAAAATCAAGCACACTGAGCCATAACAGGTGTTACAGCTTACGGCCCTTAATGACAGCCCTGTATAGTACCCTCTGATAGTGCGTTGTGCATGTAACAATTTATTATAGAGACATGACTGCCTTACTATAAAATATACTGCTCATAATATTCATACATGTATGAACTCCAGGACCTGAGTGATGTATTTATCATATCCTCATTATCTTTGTCTATATAATAAAAAGAAAATTAAAAGGTGGCTTGAAGTTGTAAATTCAGTTTTCTTGTGTTGAAAACAATATTTCCCTTGCTCTGCTTGTTCAGAAAATATTGTTTTTACCACTTGCAAATAAAATTCCTATCTTTGCGCCACTGTGCAATATCCTCTATTTATTTTTTCCACCCCCAAAAAGATTGAAGCCATTATGATAGCAAAAAAGGGAAATTGGTACTGGCCATTGAACAAAGATAACTTAGTTCCACAGGTGTTTGTTGGTCAGGAAGGCCTGGTTTTCAATAGCAACAAGCAAAACCCTGCACATGAGTCCAAGCATGCAAACACGGAGCAACCCAGGAATGTGACAAGGACTAAAGCAGTTTGTTGTAGGGCATTACTTCCTTTCTCAGTGTGAATATGGAATTTTGTGCTTGCCCATAAGCTGTCATTAAAATAACGAAAAGATGCGTATCCATAGTACACACCTCTTGGTACAATGGGCTCTCCTGTAAAGTGTACATCTCCTTGCCTTGCCCAGGCTTATAAA